AGGAAAATAAAGTTTTTTGCCCTGAAAGCTTTCCAAAATACATTGTGTTGGTGTATTTTAATATTATTAATTGATATCCACATGCGTTGCACTCAAATTAATGTGAATTTTGATTTTGATTTTGAATTAGTGCATTCTCAGAATTATAGTTACATTGATAAACATTTTATGATGCAACTATGCATTGAAATCTATGCATACCAATTATTCAGGGAATCTTAAAAACATCAAAACTTGCAACAACGTACTCATCAACTCTATAACAAGTTTGAAGGGTGAAAATTATGCAGTGAGTTTTTATTTATACTCCGTTTAGTAGGAAGGATGAAAAGTAAGGAGGATAAAAAATAAGAGGATACATTTTCTATCTTTTAAAGAAAAAAATAGGAATGATATGCTTTCCTTCTTTTATGTTTGGTTGGATTGATAAAAAATAAAAATGACTAAATATACATATTTTTTTTGTGTTAGCTAAGATTAGGAGTGAAAATCGAGTCTTGTCCTGTCAGATTTGTGTTGAGTCATTACAGGTTTGTGTCGAACATTAGTCACACTTAACTCAACTCATTTAACTAATTATGTCGTGCCGAGTTACGAGTTAACCTGTTTATTTTTGTGTTCGAGTTAATCAAGTCATGTCATAAAATTCATTTCGAGTTTGAGTCTTGTCATTATGTTGAGTGAAAAATTTTCTCCCCTAGTTAAAATAGAAAAAATATTTTTTTAATTTAAAATATTTTTAATTTTTTTTATTTTAAAATTATTTAAAATATATATACATATTTTATTATTGTATTTTTTTATAAAATTAATGTATACATTATTTATGTATATATAAAAAGATATATAAAGAAATAAGATACATTTCAACACAAATAATTAACTATTCATCCACTTTCCTTTCGATTTTAGAGGAATTGATTTGGGTGAGGTAGAACAAAAATTAATCCATCTACTTTTCCATACTTCATATTTTTCTTCATTACCTGATATGATATTTTATTTATTTCTCTAACTTTCAATTTTTCTAACTTTCTATCTTTCCTTTTTTCTATTTTACAAAACAGAGCATTAGAGATCTCACACTTAAGTTGTATATATTTCAACCTCCTGATCCTACAAACATCTGTAAGCCTAAAATAGGTCGTGGCATTTGTCATGCTGCTATCTTATTTCAAATCACGCTAGATTAGAATACTAAGTCAAGAAAATGGCGCAAAGATAATAACAAACTATATAGTATTTTGTTTCAAATTCATACGTCACCTTATTTTATCATATTCTTACAATAGAAAAGCTAAAATCCTCAAGTCTGAGTTTTTATATAAAATTTGTCAGACAACTGAATTCAAAGGGAAGACATTATAATGTTGACCACCTTATACTCCCTCACGCTAACTTTTAGTGACAATTAAGTCCTACCTTGGCATTATTATAGCATATCATTAAAGAGAACGCTACCTAAAAAATGAAATGCATTTTCACACTTTTTTCACACAATCTAAGTACAATAATTCTGAAATCAACTTACATCTAGATAGAGACAAAACCAAGAGTAAGGTCTTCTTACCTGTTCCCCACAGACCATATCTCATCAGCTGCGTACAGTGCTAGTTGATCAGTGATACGATTTTTCAAGAGGGGTTTGCCGATTGCACGAAATTTGTTGTAAAATAAAGTTGCAGCAATAAACAAAAAAAAAAAAATGGCGATAGTTTGAAGGCGAACAACAACAAACATAATTAAATTAAATACAATTTTTTTTTTTTTTTTGTGGAATTTAATTGTCACCCAATGGAGTAGTGCTTGTTTCCATTGTTGCTACCCAGTAGAACCGACCGAAGCACCATACCATGATGAAAATTAGATTGTGTTCTTGAATACATTTTATAGGGATCCGGAGAAAATTTGGTGTACCCGATCGACATAAGAATGAAAAAGTTAAACATATAATAATGTTTGATGTATTTTGAGAGTATTAAAAAAATTAAACAAATAGCAAAAGCCATAAGCTTTGATTAAAAACACTAACAGTCATATTTCAGAGTATTCTGAATCAAAAAAAAAAAAAATTCTAGATACTCATCTATCCATACAAATCAAAATGTAGAACTAAGAAAAAAAACCATTCACACATCAATTCAATGGCAAAACCTGAAAAAAAAGACACCACGAGAGGAAACTAGAAGCCCCAGAGTTTGAAGAGGACACCAAATTTTCAATGAAATGTAATTCAAATTATATATAGTTCCATCCAATTTTTGTGTACCAGATCAGAATAAGAATGAAAAAAAATTAAACGTATAGTACCTAAGTCAAAGACCCATAACAATTGATCAGCCCAGATTTAATTTGGTTAGACCCAATTAATTAAGTAAGCTCAAAATAAGCTGCACAGTAGATCAAGCCTAGCTCTTAGATCCGGCCTAGTCCAAAGTTCAAAGAAGTCCAGAAAGATTAGCGCATGTGGGAGTAATTACCGGGATAGCAGCTTTTAGAGATTAACACTACCTTTAATTGTATCTATCCTAGTTGTAGCTATCATCTCCGAAAAGCTAGTGACCTATTCATTACGTCACCGTTTTTAACCAAGGTTTTGTGTCTGTAAATTGTAAGTCCTCTCCACACGAGAGGGGCACATCTCCACACACATTTTACATAGCTACATTTCTCAAAGCTACGTCTCCACACCCAGAGCTTATTTTTGCTCCCTCTCTCTCGCTCACCTACTACTTTATCAATAAAGTTATCTGGCCACCGTTGCCGCTGTTAAAAATTGGAGTTGGTCACCCTAACTTAACCACTCTATATATGTGATGTCTGTGTTAATCTCTTCTTTATATTTATTGCATTTATTATCTATATTAGTTACTTGACTGGTTGTGCATAAATTCACTTTTGTGCATCATCTACAACGTCACAAAGGAATATCACAACATTTGTGATGAGTTTCAAATTCATGAAATACAATCCAAGTGAAGGAAATCAACTGTTTAAATAACCTGCTTGGTCATATCAAGCTCAGCGGAGTAGACCAATTTGGGAGCTAGAAGTTTGGTACGTGATAGATCCCAAGTTGCTCCCACTGTGCCACGTGTCCAGGGGACAGGGGAACAACTTCTGGAGCCCCTAATGAACAAACACTCCCTGATAAAGAGAATATTTGTTCGTTACCGTTTTGAGAATCGTGGGCACAACATGCGTCAGAGTGGCAAACACCACTATAGGAAAGAGGAAAAAGGAACCACAAAATCAGACAAGAAAAGGAAGGAATCTCAGAAAGACCTAGATGGCCACGTGTATAAATAGAATACAAAAACACTATATAAGGGAGTTCCAGAATCTTATTTTTCCAATATATTGTGTAAGAAAAGGCTCTCAGCCAAGTAACCCACTGTAATCATTGTCTTCATCTTCAAGCAATATAAATACCTAGGAGTAAGAGCTTCTGTTACAGTGGATGTAGTCTTTGTCTTTCAGTTAATGCGAACCACTTATATTTTGTTCTTTGATCTAACATCAACACTTCTTTTCATATTATCCCAATATAAACGGAGCCCCCCCCCCCCCACTAGGCCTCACTCATAGTCCTTGTTCTGCATTGGGAATAGTATTTTTGAGTACCATCAAAGCCAATCAAATTAACCTACAAATTTCCTTAAATACAAAAACCCTACATTCAAAAACCAAATTAATAACACAAATATCCAAAAATCCAACTTAAGTGGTGTGGCCAGCGTGTATGTATGTGTGTTGTCTGCTTTTAAGTGTGTGTGCGTGTGGGTTTTGTGTGTGGTCGAAGTATGTTTGTGTGTTGTTGTTGTGTGTGAGTTTTGTGTGTGGCCAGTGTGTATGTGCTGTTGTGTGTGTGTGTGATGGGTTTGACTGTGTGCTGCTATCTGTGGGTGTTTTGTGCATTGCTTTGTGTCTGTTTTTGTGTGTGTGTGTGTGTGTGCATGTGTTGAGGGTTTGATAGTGTGTGGAGAGAGATAGAGAGAGGGTGTGCTTGGGCGATGTGAGAGGAACCAAAGAAAGCCCATTGCTGCTGGTTATCCATGGCAAATGAGAGAGAGAGAGAGTGATCTGATAAAGTTAAGAGACAATCGTACATGTGAGAGAGAAAGAGGTAGAAGGGACATGAGACTCTTGTGTTGGAAATGAAACGAAACTCTTAGTCCAATGCTTGGGCGGACAAAAAAATTTGGAAATTAATTAAGATCATCGGATAAACAATCTTAAAATGATCTGAGATGTTCAAACTATTTTATAAGTTTGGGGGTTTGAAACTCTTTGTACTTTATTATATAGATATATCATACTTACTCATATGCATGAATCATATTTATGAGAAGAATGTATAATGCATATACATGAACTTGATGCATACATGTATCTCTTATTAACTTCTATACATGAACCATATTTATTACATGCATGTATAAACTATGTTAATGAACTTTACCCATGCACATTCATGTATGACATATATGCATCGATTAATTATTAATACATACATGTATAGTCATAGACATGTACTTTGTGAATACATGTATGATTTGGATAAATGAACTCTAGAAGGTTCTCAAAGCTTATAAATAGAACTTTTAAGTTGAGCATTTGAACACTTCTGTAACATCATATAACACGTTATAACACTTCACCACATACTTGAGAGTTTAGACCAAAGAATGGTGTTTTATGGTGGACCTTTAGACTTAACTACTTGTGTAGAGTTGGTTAAAGTCGTACAACGAAGCTATCGGGTTGTTGTATCCTAGAGGAGATAAGTCAAATGAGAAAGTCTACTACATCAGATTTAGGCTTTACCATCCGCAGAAGGTTCGAATCTCCTTAACGAGAGAGAGATTCCCATGCCTCAACCTGAATTGTTTCGTGTCATATTTTTATTATTTTATACTTTTGCCTCTCAATTTATGTAATTACACCAACATATTGCTTACACAATGTAACCCTCCAACGAAGAAGGCTTATTGTGGACAATGAATGTTTTCTATGCGAGGAACATTATGAGACATTGGAACACATATTTCTCAACTGACTCGCCTAAATCGTCTTCCCCTCCTTGTGGATTTCTAAAGCTAAATTTTGATGGAGGGCCTATTTTCCATTGGAAGGAGGCTACTGGTATAGGGGTAGTAGCGAGAGATTGCAATGGGAAGTTTTTGGCAGGCTTCAATAGGCTCGTTCAAGGTATTACATGTTCTGAACAAATTGAATGGTGGCCGGCATATGCTGTTGACATGGGATACAAATATATCATCTAGGAGGAGATTCTATGCGAATGGTTGAACTCATTAGGAAGTGGGAAGGAGGTCTTTCTGATATCGAGCATTTTTTGAATTTTATTCAAGACTTTGTGTCGAACTTTTTCTGTTTTATTCAAGGTTACCTGGGTTTGTAGGTCTTGTAACATTTTTGCCCATAGTATAGCTAGGAATGCAAGTAATGTTTTGGATTGTAATGTATGAAGGAAGTTTCTCTAGACTTTGTGTTAATTTCTCACCAGGATGATGTGTTTTAAGGACTAGTTATTGCCTGTGCCTGAAGGCACAGAGTAATAAAAAATGGTATACAATAAATATATTTGTATTCATATACAAAATCAAATCACAAACATAGAGAATAAGTAAAAGAATTTAAGCATCGGTTTGTAGTGGGGATGAGAGATGGTGGGCGGTAATAGTGGTGGTAGGAGACGGTGATGGTTGTAGTGGGTGACAATGATTGTGGTGGAGGTGGCAGTGGCAGTGGCAGCAATGGCGACGGTGGTGGCGGCGACGGCGACAATGGCGGCGGCGGTGGCGACGACAGCAATGATGGTGGCTGCGGCAGTGGTGATAGAGGTAGTGGTGAGACGGTTTCAAATACTATTTTTTAAAAAATATTTATGAGAAATAATTTTAAAAAGTCACTGTAAACACATCCGTAAGAGCCTATTTTTCCTATTAAACTTAGGGTGTTAATATTAACCGTTAGATTAACTTTAAAGTAAAATTTAAAGCGATGTCAACCGCGAATAGCAAAAATTATTTTTGTTTATTTTTTAAAATTTGAATTCTTAGCTACTTTATTATATAGATTATCGTTTCGTATCAAAAACAAAATCTCCCTACTTATCGGTACGGTACTGGAAATGAGGGGCAAGCTTTTTGATGCACTCTCAAAATTAGCAATCTCAAGGCTCAGTGGTTCATAGTTGGTTGGATGGTGGATAGAAACATGATTGGTTGGAAAATTATAAATCAAAATTCAAGAAAAAAAATTATGGGATCAACAAAGAAATTCCATAACAGACTTGATTGTGAGCAATATTTACTTAAAAGCGTGTATGAGTATAAAGATTAGAAAGAAAAGGTAAAAAGAAAGGGGATGCACAAACAAATGAAGTACAAAAACATATGGTACGTACTACAGATAAGGATAACAATTGGGAAGACATGTCAAATGCCATGAATTTTGAGTTATCGGCAATCTTGGTTTCAAATTTAGGCAACTGAATATTCAATCATCAATAATCAATATTTTACTGCTTATAGGTAGACCTTCATTGAAATCTGACTGTATTACTTGCACCACATGGTTTCCTGAATATTTTTGGGTTGTTGACAAAAATATGCAGATTGGATTTTTATATAGAATTTCTTTATATAATGATGGCTCATTTGAGTTGTTGAGTTGTTTGATTATGCACCAAACACCATTAGTATTTTCACCATCTTAAAAATATTGTTAGTAGGCCCTTTTTATAAGATTTTATTACAAACATTTTGTTTTGTTTATGATTTTCCTTCTCTTTCTTTCCCTCGCCTATTTCCTTGATGAATGAACATGGAAAATTTAGGTTAATACGTGTTAGTAATCACTTTGAAGTATTGTTCTAACAATACGTGTACGAAAAATTAATGAGGTCGAAATTTCAAAGGCTGTGCAAACCATTTTTCATTTTTTCAAGTAACGTGCTTTCATTTCTTGTAGATTAAGTTAATTCTAGATGATTTTCACCATAGGCTAGACATGACACAAGTATTCAAACACAATGTTCAAACCGTTCAAGTCTTAGAAAAGTACACCAAAAGTACTATAAATAGGGACATATAGCAACACCAAATTTGCAACAAATTTAAAGATGAGAACCACAACAAGTTTATTGTTTTCACTTTTTTTTCTTTCCTCAACTTCATGGGCTGCTTCGGCTCCTTCTCATGAAGATTTTCTTCAATGTCTTTCCCTTCATTCTCAGAACTCAAACTCACTATCCAATGTCATTTACACCCCAAACAATGCCTCATATTTATCAATCTTATTATCATCCATACGAAACTTGCGGTTTATACCACCTGCTAAGTTAGAATCTCCGATAATTGTTACACCATTGCATGAATCTCAAATTCAGGCAGCCATATATTGTTCAAGAAAGCTTGGCATGGAGGTTAGAGTTCGGAGTAGAGGACATGATTACGAAGGCCTTTCTTTCCTTTCAGAAGTCCCTTTCGTAATAATTGATATGAGAAATCTTCAATCAATCTCCATTGACACTCAAAAGAATACTGCATGGGTCCAAGTTGGTGCCACAATTGGCCAGCTCTATTATAGAATTGCTGAAAAGAGTCGAACTCTTGCCTTTCCTGCTGGTGTTTGCCCTACAGTGGGTGTTGGTGGCCACTTTAGCGGGGGAGGGTATGGCATGATATCTCGTAGATATGGCATTGCTGCGGATAATATAGTTGATGCACAAATCATCGACATTAATGGAAGAATTCTTGACCGAAAATCTATGGGGGAAGACCTCTTTTGGGCCATTAGAGGAGGTGGAGGTGCTAGCTTTGGAGTCATTGTTGCATGGAAGATAAAATTACATGTTGTTCCACAACATGTGACTGTTTTCAATGTAACTAGGACTTTGGAGCAAAATGCGACCAAGCTTGTGCATCGATGGCAATATATTGCAGACAAGATTGATGAGAATCTACTCATCCGACTTTTCTTAAGAACTACCAATTCCACTTCAGATGGAAAGAAAACGATACAAGCTGCCTTCACTACTTTGTTTCTTGGTGGAGTTGATGAACTCCTCCCATTGATGCAAGAAAGTTTCCCCGAGCTAGGTTTGGTGAAAGAAGATTGTATGGAAATGAGTTGGATCGAATCCATCCTCTACTTTGCAGGCTTTCCGAGTGGAGAATCACTAGATATTTTGCGTGATGGGATTGCTGTTGGTAGATATGAGCTCTCTTTTTTCAAAGGAAAATCAGACTATGTGAAAGAGCCTATTTCTGAAAACGGATTGGAAAGGATTTGGGAATGGTTATATGAGGAAGAAGTCGGGGCAACCGAGTTGCAATTTAGTCCTTATGGTGGAAGATTGGGTCAAATTTTGGAGTCTGAGATACCTTTCCCTCATAGATCGGGGAATATTTATATGATACATTATGGGGTGAGCTGGGATGAAGAAGGGACAACAGCGGCAAAAAGGCATTTGAGTTGGATTCGAAGGCTTTATAGTTTTATGGCTTCTTATGTTTCCAAGTCCCAAGAGCTGCGTATCTCAACTATAGGGATCTTGACTTGGGTGTGAACAATAAAGGCAACACAAGCTATACACAAGCAAGTATTTGGGGTCTTCGATATTTCCAGAACAACTTCAAGAGATTGGTACAGGTGAAGACGATGGTTGATCCCAGTAATTTCTTTAGAAATGAACAAAGCATTCCTTCTATATCACCTTGGTGGAAGAAGAAAGGTGATTAATTGGATCCTAGAGAAGATTAAAAAGTGTTGCCTAAGTGCTACATCTTTTGTATTATATTCATAAATAAAGCTCATTGGATATAGAGCAGATGTTTATGTACTTTACATATGAAATGCATAATAAAATTTTGATTGCTTAATTTCATATCTAGTTTGATAGTTTTGATCTTATTTGCTTGATTAGAGTAAAAATTGCATGTCAAAAGAAAAAGAAAGAGAAGAAGAAGAAAGAAAGAAACTTAATTTGAACACTGTGCCAGTCTGAGTAAAAAATACAGAGTTTTTGAGGAGAATACTCCAATAATCTTTTTCTATTACTGGCTGGGCATAAATAGCCACTGTACAAAGCTTTAGATCATATAGTTTAGGACTGATCGACTAACTATAAGGAAACTATAACTATCAAGATACAATCACATATTTATAGGGATTCTAGTAATTCTAGTCTATCTGTACAGCTAGTAGTAGAGACAAATTAGGGGCTAGAATATTGGAGAATCAACTTGGAGATAATTACTCTTGATTGTCAACACTCCCCCTCAAGTTGGTGAGTAGATGTCGCTCATGCCTAGTTTGTTGAGACAGCCATTAAATGCATGGTTTGACACTGCCTTGGTCAGCACATCAGCAAGCTGCTCTTGAGATCGAACATGAGGAATTTCAATCAATTTTTCTTCTAGTTTCTCCTTGATAAAATGTCTATCAACCTCAATATGTTTTGTTCGATCATGTTGGACAGGATTATGGGCAATATCACACGCTGCCTTGTTATCACAATATAACTTCATAGGGCTGACTTGCTTAATATGTAAATCTTGCATCAGATTTCTGATCCACAATAATTCGCATATTGCCTTAGCCATTCCTCTGTATTCAGTTTCAGCACTAACTCTCACAACTGTTTTTTACTTCGCCAAGTAACTAAATTTCCTCCTACAAATGTGAAATAGCCAAACGTAGAACGTCTATCTTGAACTAACCCAGCCCAATCTGCATCTGTATAGCAGTTAATATTCAAACTTTCTTCTTTTGTGAATAAAATTCCCTTTCCTGGAGATGACTTCAACTATCGTAAGATACGTATGACAATATTCATATGTTCTTCGCTTGGGGAGTGCACTAACCACACTCAACGCATAAGCTAAATTAGGTCGAGTATGTGCAAGATACATTAATCTTCCAACCAGTCTCTGATAGCGTTCTTTGTTAGCAGGAACTTGATTTGAATGCACACATAGTTTCAGATTTTCTTCCATAGGAGTGCTAGTTGGACTACATGCTGTCATACTAGTTTCATTCAGTAAGTCTAAGGCATATTTTCTTTGTGACAGAAAAATACCTTTCTTCGATCTTGACACTTCAATTCCAAGGAAATACTTCAATTCACTGAGATCCTTCATCTCAAACTCACAGGCAAGATGCTTTTGTAGTGTTTTCCTTTCTTCAAGATCATTTCTAGTCACTATCATATAATCAACATACACAA